GAAAGGAGACAGAAATTAGTATTAAAAGAGATACTTTTTAAACCCACTGCATGTTGGGCTTGGACTGATGAAATGTGACCTGTGCCTGGAAATCTCACATGGGAAGAGAAGCACTTCCCTGCAGGATAACCCTCAAGTGCTCCATATTCCAGCCAGCTTGGCCCTGTGGCTCCCAGCTGCTGCAGAGCCTCACTGTTAATCAGCCTTGGGATGATTGGTGTTGCTGAAGGACCCATCCCACAGGAATGTTGTTTGGAAGCTGTGCCTGCACATTCCTCGGATCCGCTGCAGTCACCTGCCGTGACCTCTGCAGCTCAGGAATTAGGGCCTTGTCAAGGGCCACTAATCCCAGCTGGCCACTGATCCTGCTGATTCTTAATGGGATTTTCCCATCTTTAGTGTTGAGACAGCTTAATTCCTCCTGCCACAAGGAGGAGGGGTATAAAAAGCCACATGGAGGCCTCCAGAGCTGATCTCCAGACATTTCTTTAGGGAAAGGGGAGAGCTGGACTTTGAACCTTCATAGATCCTGGAAGAGACCTGAAACTCTTTTTCATTGTTCAGAGAAATCTGTGCCATTGCAGATCTTGGGGGACATGTTTGGGATAGGGAAACTCAGTTTTAATTTCCTTTTCTGTCTCATTTGGGGCAGGTTTGAACCTGGGTTGTTCATCCTACACTGAGTGCAAAGAAAGCGCTTAATCTTTGGGTTCTTGGAGTTGGGTTGTGACTGAATATTCCAACTTCAGAGACACCATGAAAAATCCAAAAATAAAATAAATCAATTTTATGCATCTGAATCTGCTGAAAGACCCCCTCACAATTTTTGAGACCACAGCAGGGCAGGAGCTGATTGCAGCTCATGGTATTTGTTTAAGTAACAGAGGTACTTAAAGTTCTGTTTTTAGTTCTGAGGGTCCTGAGCTCAGTCTCTGCCCCAGACCCAGGCTGAAATGGATGGTGCTGGAATAACTCCAAGAAAAATGGGGAATATTGAGTGGGAGAAGGGCTGCACATGTGATGAAATTACTGATTTCCTCCTGTTTCATTTACACAGGGCTCCCTGCCTTGGTGGTTGCCATTTCTGTGGGATTTACTAAAGCCAAGGGATACGGCACCGTGAACTAGTGAGTAAAGGATTCCTTTTTTGCCCTCGTTTTATCCTGCATCCTTTTTGTCAAAACCCAGCCACTGACCCACAGGAGGCAGATTGGGAGCTAAATTTCCATGTGCAAGGCAATCCCTGCATCCCTGCCTCCTCAATCCATCATCTGACCAAGCTGACAAAGATTGTTCCTTTAAAAACAAGTTCATAGGGACTCATTAAGTTTAACTGTTGTATTTGTGACATCACCTTGATCTAAATAACTTTTACTCAGAGCTTTTTAATGTATTTTTTAAGGGGGAAAATGTGGAATATTTAAAGTTTAGGATGTTTAAAAATTAATACCAGCTTTTTTTTTAAATCTGTTTTTGTGCTTGACTGGCCTCACATTTTCAAAATCGCTCAGCTCAGTTTTAGGCAGCAGAATGAGCCCGACTTGTGCAAACCAAGGTTTTGACAGCAGCCTGTGTTTGCCTCTTTTCCAAATGCAACAGATTTTGTCTTTAGGAAGCATTTATGTGCTCATAATGGGGGAAGGAAAACAGGAAAGAAATAATGCAAGGGGTAAAAAAATGCATCACTCAGAGCTGAGCATTGGTACAACTTCAAATGAGAAAGGAAAAAAGAGAAAATACTTTTCCCCTCTGTTGTGAAAAACCTTAGAAATGTCATGCATAGTGACAGTTCAGGGATAATATTTTATGTAGCAATAAGTCAGGCTGTTTCCTACTGCATCCCATCATTTTCCAGAGCCTTCCTGGGCAGGGATTTGCAGCCCACACGGGCGATGTTTGGGACTGGAGCTGTTGATGTGGCCGGCAGCAGATGAGGCTCCGCTCGTCCCACTGAGGAAATGTCATGTGGAACCTCCTGCTCTCCCTCAATTCCCACCACATCCTGCACACCCACGGCCAAATGGTCCAGGGTTTGCATTTTAATTGCAGGGGAGAATGAAAGCAGCACAGCAGCGCTTTCTGTTTGCTTTGCAACCTGAATTCTTGTATGGCAGAGGGCTCAGGATTGTGGATTTCTCGAGTGCAAATCCATAGACAGAATTCCTGAAGCCTGTGCTGGCATCAGGATGCATTGGCTGTCCCACCTTCAGTGTGGAGAGGGACCCAGTGGTTGTTGTGTGACTCAGGAGAGGACAAAACACAGCCTGGTTTGCAGGAGCATCACCAAAATCCCAAATTCATTCTCTTTGGATTTTCCGTGGGTCAGCTGCTTCTGGCACTTTGCTCCAGGCACATCCATGAGAATAATTAATATGAACAAGCCTCAGGGAGATGGGAGGGAGGTCCTGGATATTTCTGCTGCTCTTTTTTTTGTGTATGGGCTGGTGGGAATTGGTGCACTGAGCTTTGTGGCTCTGTCAAAAATGTGAAAGTTTTTTGGTCAATGTGGACCACACAGAGTGCCTGGGAGGGGAAGGGAGGAACATGCAGGAAAGCATTCCCTGTTTTCTGCCCTGGAAAACAGCATCTTCCAGCCTGCAGACTGCAGCCAGGAGGGTGTCAGCATGGGACAAAACCCGCTGGGCTCCTGCTTTGCTCTCCAGCTGGCACAGGGTGAGGTGGCCAAGAGGCTGGGCTGACTCTCCAGCGTTCCCAGGGGTTGCCTGGTCACTCCAGCTCTCCTCCTCTTGCTGCCAATGCTCTGAGTCCTTCCAGCCCTAAAGACTCTGTCACTCCTTGCATCCAAGGGCTGGATATCCAGCCAGGGGATGGAGGGGGATCCCGTGCTCCCAGCTCTGCTGTCAGGGTGTTTGTCACCAGGATTGTGGTGGTGGGGCCTTCACAGCCCAGCAAGTCCAGTTTGATGAGTTTGGTTTCAGTGATCCTTGTGGGTCCTTTTCTGGGATATTCCATGGTTCTGTGGTCCCTCCTTTGCCTTCTTTCCACATTTCCCAGTGTGGGGTGAAGCTGGTGAATCCCACCAAAATCATGAGAAGGACAAGAGTTCTCTCAAGCTCAGGGATGCCATCAGACATCCCCAACACTGCCGTCCTGTTGTAATTTCACACTTTGGTACCTTCCAGTACTTAAAAGACATACAAGAAGGCTGGAGAGGGACTTTTTCCAAGGGCATGTAGTGACAGAACAAGGGAAAATGGCTTTGAGCTGAAGGAGGATAGATTTACATTGGATATTGGGAAGAAATTCTTCCCTCTGAGGGTGCTGAGGCCCTTGCACAGTTTGCCCAGAGAAGCTGTGGCTGCCCCATCCCTGGAAGTGTCCAAAGCCAGCTTGGAGAGGGCCTGGAGCAACCTGGGATAGTGGAAGATGTCCCTGCCCATGATAGGGGCATTGGACAAGACAATCTTTGAGGTCTCTTCCAACCCAAACCACTCCACAGTTCTCTGAATTCCTGCTGGAATTGGCTTTACCAAGAGCCAGACTTAAACAGAGCTCACTTGCACTGAGTGGTGGGTTCATGAGCCCTGATGCTGAATAAAATGGAGCATCTCTGTCACGAGAGTTACATTTACACTTTTGTGCATTTTAAAACACGGAACAAATATTGCTGTGGGCCCACAGGGCAGGGCACTCGGACAGACTCCAGAGTGCATTCACACTTCACCCTCTTTTCCTGCTCAAAAAGGCTTAAAAGCTCTGTGGCACTGCTGTGTGGGGAGGCCCTTGGTTTTACCTCTCCTCCAGAGCAGAGTCAGCACTGCCCAGCAGCAATTTCAGAGAACTCCAAAACTTGAGGTTTAGCTTGGATATTGGGAAGAAATTCTTCCCGGTGAGGGTGGGGAGGCCCTGGCACTGGCACTGGCTTTCCAGAGAAGCTGTGGCTGCCCCATCCCTGGAAGTGTCCAAGGCCAGGTTGGACAGAGTTTGGAGCACCCTGGGATGGTGGAAAATGTCCCTGTCCATTGCAGGCAGTTGGAACCAGGAGATCTTGAAGGTCCTTTCAGCCCAGTTTTGCCTCCAGTGGGCACTCATGGGGCATTTCAGGTGGGCACTGCAGACTTCCAAAGCCCAATATTTCCAGCTTGCAGAAGGAAGGAAAAGCTTTAATCACATTTTTCCCTGAGAAGGAAGGGACAAGAACTGACAAGATAAACCACAAGGGACTTTTAAAAACCACACAGAGCCTTTTAAACCATCTTCCAAGATGCTTTAAAAGTCCCAAGAGCAGTGCGTGAGCTCCCTTAGTGGACATGAAGCCAAAGCAGGGCTCTGATAATTAGGTGAGCACAGAATTTAACACTCAACAGCCTTTGGGTTTTTTTCCTTATCCCACTCAGAGTGGTAAAAAAACCCCTGACATCCAACTACAGGACATGGTCATGAGGGCATTTTGGGGACAGCTCCAAGTGTTGAAGGCACTGCAGAGTTAATCTTGGTGTTAAAGACTCCCAGGGTGTGAAATGTGTGATGTGTCTTGAGGCTGGATCTTCAGGACGTGCCAAAGGTGGCCCAACCACACTGGCACAAACTCCATCAGGATTCCTTAGCAGGATTTAACTCAGTTTGGTTATGTTTTTTTTTTATTGTACATGGGATGAAGCTTTTATCTAACAATGAAACACAGCTGAGCAGCAGGACAGACTCTGTCCCACCAAGAGTTGTCCCATCATCAAAGGCTTGGCCGTGTCTCCAGGCTCTAATGCAGAGAGATCAGAGCCTGTGGTAAGTTTAGGGAGCTTGCAGTATGTTTAATATTTACCATTTAGCTGGCCAGACTGCACTGAATCATGAGTTGAGGAGGGAGAGAGAGGTTCAGATTAAAAATTGAATATGTGCTGCAGGATTTGGAGTGTGTCTCTTGTTCTGTGAGTGGTGATTCCCAGCAGCCATTCTCTCAGCCTTTATTACTCAGAACATTCCAACAAGGGGATTTTTCCTTTCTCTTGTCTGAACTGCATTTGAAAGGACATTTTTCTGTTGTTTGGAGCATGCTGGAGCAGGGTAGAGGCTGCACTTCCAGTCTCAAAGAAAGTCTGAGGGGTACCAGAGGTCTAAAGGACCTGCCACTGATCACCTCCTTAGATTAGGCTGAGTGCCTGAATAATAACTCTGCTTTTAGCTGGTGCTCCAGGGACTGCCTCTGGACCTCTAAAGCTTCACAAACAAGCTCCTAAAGCTTGAAGTGAATAATTGAGGTTGTGCCACTGGTGCTGGGAGCTCACATCCTTCCCCACAAGAGAGCTCATCAGAACTTTTCTGAGAGCACAGCCTGCACACAGCAAATTTCTGGGGATCCTGGGGTGTCACTGCATCAGGGCTTTTGTGACCCACAGGTATCTCAGCAGCTCCTGGGTTAATCTCTGGATAAACACAGCCCTGATTCCCGACTGTAATCTCAGTTTTACAGAATGTTCTGTTGGTGCTGCCTAACCTTACACAGGACTGAGGTGAGAGCTGGTGAAAAGGGCTCAGTGGCAGCCAGCCCTTCCCAGGACCAAGACAAAAGCCACCCCTCCCATCTGTGCCACAAAAAAAGTCACTAAAAGATCAGATGGTTTGCAAAAAATGTTTTTGTTTTGTTTGGGTTTTTTTTTTTGTGCTGAACACAAGAGCTGCTGTCAGTCAAGGAAACACTGCTTAGGAATTGTTAAACCATTCACTTCCTCCCTTCCAGTGATAATTTTATTTTAAAAATCACTGAAGAGATCCTTTGGAAAGTACGAGGGAACCTCTTAGCAAAATGCAAATATTTCTGTGCCTCGTAGGCACCAGGCTGAAAGCATCTCCACTGGGCTGGGGTTTGCTGTCAGTTCTGTCTCTCGGATATCCCTTCACCCTTTCCTTTCCCTTGGCCTCTGAGAGCCTCAGAGAGGCTTTGATGAGCGCTGTGGGAGGAGGTCAGGCAGTCAGGAGGGCTCAGGGCTGGGGCTGGGTGATGTGTGAGCTCAGCTGCACAATTCCTGGTGCTCCCGGGGGGAGCTGCCAGGGACCCGGCAGGAATGAGAACCCTCCCTGCCCCAAGTCCTCAGCGCTAATTGCAGTGCAGGACTGTCACATTTCTTCATCTGATCCACCAGCTGGAAAAAACATCTCAAAAATCAGGATGGAGCATTGGATGAAAAGGTTTGGACGAGGACTGGGATTTGGCAGCCCTTCTCTTGCATCCAGTCATTACAGAGCTCCAGAGCTTTATTTTTAATCCCCCGCTCCTCAGCTGATATTCATTTTATTATTACAGTTGCTCAGACAGCTTGTGACAGAGCAACTTGCTATCAGGAAGAAATCAGAATTGATTAAATTAGCACATTACAGATTTAATTTAGACATAAACAAGATTCAGACCTTGGAGAAAACCAGAATATCCTACTTTTAATTCTCAGTTTGTAATATTTCCATTTTTTTTGGGCTGAAAAATACTAACATTTTTTGCAACTGAGATTTAATTTGTAGAAAATATGAGGCTGATCAACAAAGCTGAAATGTTTCCAGGAAGGCTTCTTTTTTTTTCCCCTGGGAGCATCAGTTTGCTCCTGATGCAGGATGAAAGCATCTTGCTGAGGGCAGGGCAAGTGAATTACTGCAGGGTGAGCTGAGTTAAGAGCCTGGAGAAAGTTCCCTCTCCATTGTGGTTTCCTGCTCTTCTCCTGTGTGAGTGCACGGCTGTTTCCTGATGAAACAGGATTACTCCATCCCACATTTTCTCCAGGGTTCTGCCCTATTAAGATGTGCAAACTTTCCCAGGGGCTGCTGACACACTCCAAATTCCCATCCTCTCCTGCCCTGGAGCACTTAGTTTGTGTGTCCATGCTCTGAAATATAAAATAAAAAAAAAAAAAAAAAAAAAAAAAAAGGAATTAAGGAATTTCAGCTCCAGTGCAGCTGTGGATGCTCACGGCTGTCACAGAGTCTGAGGAGTTTTTTTTTGTCCAAGCACCTGCTCAAGTAGGTGATCTAGGTATCCCAGCACCTCCAGCTGACCCAGGGCTGTGCCCAGGTGGCTTTTGAATGTCTCTGAGGATGGAGTTTTCCCAAGTGCTCTGCTCATCCTTCGGCAGGGCTCAGCCACTCACGAGGGAAAAAGCGTTTCCTTCCTGACTTTACAGCCAAACACAAAAAACAGAAACTCAGAGAATGATTTGAGTTGGAAGGGACCTTCAAGGTCATCTCATTCCAACCCCCTGCCCTGGCAGGGACACCTTCCACTGTCCCAGGTTGCTCCAAGCCAAATCCAACCTGGCCTTGGACACTTCCAGGTTCTCAACCAAGAGGTCTCAAATGAGAGCTCCCTCAGTTTGGGAAGGCACCAGGCAGTTCAGGAGCCCAAATTCCACATCTGGTCAGTGCACAAGGGAGATGTCCTTCTCGGGTTATGTGGGTGTGAGGGAGAAGGGGTGAGCTGGTTTCCAGAAGAGGCACCACACACCTCACATTCAGCTTATTCCATAAGAAATTCCACTCAGGGAATGCTGTGAATTCCCACCTTGCTGCTGTCTTGTTGAATTTCCCCATGGAGGCAGTCTCAAAGGGAGAAAAGAAATGTCCTGCACCCCTGGAAGACACAGGGCCCAGCAAATGAGCAGAGGAAAATTTCCACTCTTTCCACTCTTCCTCCCATGTAAGTAGGACAAGAGCATCATCTTGCCAGCCAAACACTGCAGCTGCTTCCAGGACCAGGTCTGAAACAGAGCACTCTCCTTAATTTTGCATGAATTCCCCTGTCAAATGTCATCCTGCGGGCAGGTCCCCAGGCAGAGGAGCCTTTATGCAAGTTCAGGAGAGATGGGAAACAAAACTATCTTGATTTAAAGTCTGAGAATTTATTTTTATTTTTATTTTTTCTTTTTGCCGTGGGGTGTCACCTCCCAGGCTGAACTCTGGCAGGCAGAAGGAAGAAGCCAACATGTGCCTGTTGGGGACATTTGCCACTGGGTCACTCTCTCTTCTCTCTTCATTTTCCAGCTGCTGGCTGTCATTGGAGGGAGGACTCCTCTACGCCTTCGTGGGACCGGCGGCTGCTGTCGTTTTGGTATTTAAGCTTGTCTGAAAGATTTTTTTTTTCTCCTCTATATCTTATAGCAATTTCCTTGTTCTTTCAACCCAAGGATGCCCCTCTTTATTTCCACTCATGTTTCAAAGAGCTTCCTCCTTCAGGAATAACAAGCAAAGCCAACAATTTGGGATGGGTTAGATTCCAAAATGTAATGTGCCTCAGCCTTCCCCCTCTGTCCTCACTGGAGCCCCCTAACATCTGATTAATGCTTTACCTTGGTTTTGCTGTGTCTGCATGGAAGTGCAGGATGATGGTGGAAAACTGACATTATCTCCTTCAGAAAATGCTGTTCCTGGTGGTTTTCAGACCAGGCTGTCCCTCACACCCAGCTTTTATTCCTGGCCCATCCCAGCCCAGAGCATGTGAGCAGGTTTCCTTGTTTGCAGGGGAAATTGAAATATTCAATTCAATGCTGAGGGGATCCCTTCTGACTCTAAAAATGTCAAGTTTGCTTTGAATTCAAAGAGATGGGCAGGGTTAAAATGGGCATTCCTAAACTCCAGCTCCTGCATGGGAAGTCTATTCTTCTGTCCCATCACCCCTGGCTCCAGCACAGCCCCAACACCAACATTGCCCAGTTATTATCTGAGTTTAAGCTGTCACTCGAGGCGACATTCCTTCCCTGCTGCTGAGGGAAGAAACCTCAGCTGAAAGAATCTGAGAACGGCTGATCCTCCAGGAAATCCCTCCTGCAGCAATTTCTGATGGGTTTAAAGCCACATTTGAGCCCCCACACCTTTCTGCAGTTTCTCTCCAGCCCACTGTTTCATCCAATGGAGGAGCTTTATGCCCTCTGAGGCTCTGGAGAGTCCCACAGGAGTGGGATTGTTGACACTGAAATTCCTTTTTCAGTTCAGGCTTTTGTTCCATGCAGTGCCTGGGGGATGAAATGCCCCGCAGCAGGAGCTTACAGGAGAGTAAACTCCACAAAAGCTCGGGCTGCCTCTGTTCCCAGCGCTGCCACTGCACATCAAACCACCTTGGTGCCATCGTTTCATCACGGTGACAAAGAGAAAAGCCAGCAGTGGCCCCTCCTCTGCAAGAAATCAAAACTGGCATGAGCCGAGGTCTTTCTTGTGGGGCTGTGACACAGTGATTCGGAGGGAGGAAGCTTTGGTAGTGCCCAGAGTCACTCTGCTGCCTCAAACCACCTCGCTTTTGTTGTACCAGCAACAAGGGAGGCGATCTTTCTCTTTTTACTCTTTTAAAGTGTGAGGAGAACACACGAGCCTGCTTCCATTTGGCAGCTCAGATTTCCCTCGCCATCAAGCAGAGGAAATGAGGTGTCCCCACAGAGGGGTCAGCAGCAGATATTTGGCAGTGGTGAATCATCTCTGGGGGTGCCTGGCCCTGATCAGCACCAAGACAGAGGCCACACGCCTCCTTTGGACTCCCTGACTCATTCCTGGCCAAAGTGACAAATGAATATTGCCCTGGTAGAGGCACCAAAGAGCTTGGAGAAGAAGAAGCATGGAAAGCCTTTTTATAAATGGGAACCTGCAAAGAGATGAGCTCAAAAAGTTGATAATACTCTGAAGGTGGTTGGCCTGCAGCTTCAGCAATGCTCGTAACTCACAGTCAGGCCACTGACACTGAACAGCTGCAGGTTTGAAGGATAAAGATTTCACCTTTACTCTTAAAAAATCCTGATCTACCTTAAACACAGAGCTGCTGGAAGCAGTTTTGCTCATCCAGCTGACGTGGAGCAGCCTGGTGGAAGTTGTGAGAAGGCTGAAGGCAAGGGGAGGCTCGTGGAACGAGGTGAGGACAGGGTCAGCAGTGGTCAGGTCGTGGTTATCTCCAGGAATCTCAGACTTGGGGCTTTGCTGCTGGAAGTTGTCTCAAAGATAAAGAAGCAAAGCTACTCTGCATGTTGTTGGAAGAATATCTGTGTTACATCCCTGACTTAGGAAAGAAGTTGAGCCAGGATCAGAGCAGGATGTTGATCGTGGTGATCAATGTACTGGATTGATTGATTGATTGATTGATTGATTGATTGATTGATTGAAAGCAGTGAAGAACTGCTCATTGTTGTCACCCCTGCTCCATAGGAGTGAGGATTCACACTTTGGCCAGCCCTAGGAACACTTCAACCCCACCTTTCCTCCTGTCTGGCTGCACCTTAAGGAAAAACTTCTGAATCTTCCACAGTGAAGGATCAGTGATTTCAAAGTGCTCCTTCTCTTTCCAGGGTTATAACCAGGTGTTGATTCCCTGCTGATCCTTGGCTATGTCACTGTGCCTGGGATGCCAGTGTTATTTAAATATTTCTCTTGGTGAAACCTAGAAATGAACTCAGCTGTCCTCTGACCCAGCATCTGATGCAAACAAAAATAACTGCAATTTCTGAGATTTTCCGTGGATTCCCAGCTGTGGGCTCCACATCAGTGAGCCAGTGAAACCAGCAGAGAGATTGATCATTTGTTTTGAGGATGATTTAGGCAATTAGGCAGAGGCTTGGTCCCTTCCTTAGCGTCAGGTGACTCTTTGGATCTCTTAAAGTCACAAACATGTAAAGTCATGTGAATTTATCTCGGAATTTGGCCTTAAAACATTTCCCTGAAAGCCCCACATGGAAAACGGCATTGACCACATGTTTCTACACCAGCAGCTGTTCCACTGACAGCAAAGCCAGGAGAATGTCTCCTTTTTCCACCATCATGACCTCCTCCAGGCAGGGGTGGGGCTGGCGTGTCACTAACGTGGCGCTGAGGTTCCGATGGGGTTTGCAAAGCAGATGCAGCTGGCAGCAGTGGATGCAGTTGGAAAGGCACAGCGAGGAGTTTGGGGTCACTCTGCAGGATCTCAGCTCTGTCCAGCCTGTGTTTCACTCTGGATTTTTGTGTCTGATGGACAGACATCCATGCTCTCACCCTGAGGAAAACAGACTGCATGGGATTGTATTGCCCACTGATTTTTTTTTGGGATATTCCCTGTGCTGTGCCACCTTCAATGGCGTGTCCCAGGACATCCCACCAGAGCAGATGATGTTTCTACTTGCTCCAGTGCTCCTCCACCTCTTGTTTTGAGAGCAGTAGTGGTGTTTCACCAGGACAGAACTGTGACACCTTGTCTGCATTCTCTTAATGCTGCTTCTGACTCCAGAAGGTGCTTTGGGAGACAGCCAATGTCAACCCACTGCTCTTCCCTGTAGCCCAAAAAATTGTCACTGTGCCTGGAGATTGCCTTGCTGGACCTCAGGCAGTGTTGGGGTTCAAACAGCCCTGCAGCAATCTGGGAAGTTCTCTCCTGCTTCATGGAGACCAAGTTGAGGGTTGGACTTGATGATCTTGGGTTTTTTTTCCAGTCTTAATGATTCTCCAGCCTCCTTGATCTGCTGCCAGCTGCATTCTGCTGTGCTGAGCTCACTGATGCACGGCCAGGGGAGGTGGGACAGTGGGGGACAGGGGACACAAGGGGTGGTGTTGGCCTGCAGAAGTGTGACCTGGCTTTGGGAGAAACCCTTCTGTGTTACTGAGCTTGACCTGACCCGCTTGAGAACAAAACTTGTGTGTTGTTTCTCTTTTGACAGGTGAACATGGTTATTGGCATTCTGGTTTTTAACAAACTTGTATCCAAAGATGGAATAACAGATAAGAAACTGAAGGAACGGGCAGGGTATGCCTTATCAATACATCTAAGTAAAGAGTGAAAATAAAAACCAAAAATACCCAAGGTTGTGATCAATAACCAGGCAAGGGGTGAAAAAAGAGATTGTGGATGCAACAAAAAAAAAAAGCAAAACCAGATTGAAACAAAAGGAAAGAAAAAAATGCACTTGATTTAATGCCTTTGCACTATCATTCAGTGCAGCAGGACACAGAAATCCAAGAAACAGCCCTGTGTTGCTGTGGAGGAAGGATGAAAGTTCATCTCTTTGTTAAAACGGCTTCAGCCAAAGCTGGTACATCTCCCAGAAATGAGGGAGAGCAAAGTGGCTTTTGTCACTCCTGGAGATGGCAGAGAGAGGCCCGGCAGTGCTGAGTGTGGCACGTGGCACGGGCTGGGTGACAGAGGGATGGTGTCTGGAGGCTGGCAGGTGTCTCAGGGACAGCAGAGGTGTGTGATGGAAGGGAATGGGTTCTGGAGGCCGAGCAGAGCAGCAGATGCATGCAGCAGGAGAGGTGAGTTAAGAACCTCTGCTGCCAGAAAAAAATTGTGCTGCCACCTGAGGTTCTTTATCTTCTCCACAGCCTCCATTCCTGAATCCAGAGGATTTTGTTACCTGGTTTCCTTTGGAGTATAAAGCCAAGAGCTGACTCCACATTTCTCCCCACCACTTTGCCCTGGGAGCAGCAGCTCCCAGGCAGGGCTCTCTCTTGGGTTACTCCCAAACTTTTGTCAGTGGCTGTTTTGCCATTGCCAACACCCCCAACAGGATGAGAGCCCTTCTGCTCTCCATTTCTAGGAAGGAGCCTGCAGTCTGATTTTATCTAGTCTGATTTTATCAGCCTGCAGTCTGATTTTATTTAGCCTCAGATTTTATCCCTGAGCTGTGCTCTACTCTGAGCAAGGGACAGAAATGGCAGGCTGACACTCTGAGTCTCCTCAGATGCCCAGGTCAGATTTGTGTTACTTTCCCCTGCCTTTTTGGCTTCCTGCTGCAGTCAGAGAAGCTCTGTCCTTACCTGCTGCTGGGAAAGGCAGGGATCTGTGCTCCCAATTGTCCACTGCAGGAATTTGATTTACCACTGTGGGTAACAGCTGTGTTCTGGAAGGAAGAAGCTGCTCACAAAGAAATGAGGAGAGCAAAAGCTCTTCTGGTTCCTCTGCATGGAGGCAGAGTTTGAAACCTTTGGAGGCTGGTGGACAAAACACAGGAGGCATGGATCTATCCTCTCTGTCAAAGTGGAGGGAGAAAGGGTCTCCACTGAGTCTCAGAGGGCAGGGGCAGATAATATGGATGAGGTTCAATATTCCTGACACTGTTCTATTGAGTAGTGGGGGTGAAAGTGGTTTTTAATTGAGTGGTTTTTGATTGAGTGGTGGAGGCAAAACCCAGGGTAGAGGCAAAAAATTCTTATCCACCACCTCAAATCCTGTATTTGGTTTTGGGCTCTTCACTCCAGGAAAGACCTTGAGGGGCTGGAGAAGGGAACAGAGCTGGGAGAAGGTCCAGAGATGGGAACAGAGTTGGGGAATGGTCTGGAATACCAGGAGCAGCTGAGGCAGCTGGGGAGGCTTAGCCTGGAGAAAAGGAGGCTCAGGTGAGACCTCATCACTCTCCACAGCTCCCTGAAATAGGGAGTGGTGTGGTGAGGTGAGGGCTGGAATCTGCTCCCAGGTAACAAGTGACAGGACAAAGGGAAATTGTCTCAAGCTGCACCAGGGGAGGTCCAGGTTGGATATCTGGAAAAATTTCATCCCTAAAAAGAGAACCAGGCTTTGAAACAGGTTGCCCAGGGAAGTGGTGGAGTCACCATCCCTTGGAAGTGCTCCAGAAACAAGTGGACCTGGGATTTTGTGATAGAGTTTAATGGCCATGGAGGGGTTTGGTCTAAGGTTGGGCTCAGTCTTGGAGGTCTTTTCCAACCTTAATGATTTTGAAAAAACCACGGGGACCTGTTTAGGCTCAGGGTTTATCAGCAGTGTTGACATGACCAAACCTTGGGGTCCCTGGGTGCAGCAGAGGGGAATTTCGGTGCCTGAGCAGTGCCATGGCCATAAAACAAGAGATTTGGGTGATCAGAGATCCCAGCTGCTGCTGGGTTGAAAAATACGTGAAGAAGTGACCTTGGTTCATTGCTTCGAGCAGCTGCTAACAAGCAAGTGCTTCATTCTGGATGATGCCTTCTTGACAAAGAGAGAACTCAAAAAAAAAACCACCCAGGCTGCAAGGCAGGGTCTGGAGCAGGGTAATTGCACTTGAAAGTCAGCGCTGCAATAAATGGTTTATTGGATTAGCAAAGCAGCGAGTTGCTGCCTCTCAGTCCCTCCCTCTCTAATCCAAACTGCACACGGAGTGACCTTATTTAATGCACAGCAGCTGGTTATTGATCACACTCAGAGTTGGGCTTTAAAAACAAAACCTGCAAGGCAACAAAACAAAAACAAAACAAAAAAAAAAACAAAACAAAAAGAAAACAAATCCAAAAAAGTCATTTTTCTGATGTTCTTTGTTTTTTCTTTCTTTTCTCTTCCCTCCCCCCACCTTCTTTCGTGTCCGTGTGTGTGTGTGCAGCACTTTTAAGCCTTATCTGTGCTCAATGGTTTTGTTCTCCCTTCCCAAGTGCCCCTGCTGAGAGTGTGGGAGCACTTTTGAGAGCCCTGGTGCCCTTTCCCTTTAGTTCTCTGCTTCTGGCCTGGGCTTGGGAACCGTGTTGGAAGGTAGATCTGAAGAAAATCAGAACGAGTAACGGCCTTGGAGATGTTTGGACCTGAGGAGATGGTCTAAAGAAACGTTGTGTTTCCTTTAGCAGAGGCAAGAAGTATGGTTCAGTGTTGCAAAAACAATTTTTAAAAAGGGTGGGGAAAAAAAATCCCCCAAAAATAGGAGGGGGGAGGGGGGAAAGAGATGTTGGATGTTAAGAGGAGCCCAGCACACACTCCACAGATTGGTTGTCACAAATTCATCAGTGCCAACAGTTCTCACGAAATAATACCTGAAACACAAAATTCTGCCCTGTACTTAGCAGTGGAAGTAGCTGTGATTATTGTTGTCACATCTGTCAGAAAATGCAGATTTTCTAGTGGCAGTGATTTTATAGGTGGATCACAAAACCAGGCTGTAGAGAAAGGGGTGTGAATACCTGGAGAGCTGGAGAAAAGCCAAAACCTGTCTGGGAATGGAGAAAACCATCCCAGAAAACAGTCTCTGTTGTTGGCCAACTCCACCTCCATTGTTTGAGCTCCCTTAAAGGGATTACTACCAAAAAATGAATGTTTTAATGTCAGGAGCCTCTAAAATGAATTTCAAATTTATTCAGCCAGCGTTTATTCCACATTTGTGTGCTCACACAGGCAGGGGGGAAGAATGAGACCATCAGGGATATTCACCAGGACTAATTTTAGCTGAGTTTAATTTCTTTGGGCTTCCTCTGCCACTCCTGAGGAGAGACAGGAGCATTTTCCTCCCTTAGAGAACCTCTCTTTTATCTGTTGATCACAGAAACCACCCAAGAGTTTGCCCCAAAGCCTTGTGTGAAACAATCTCTGTGCAGGTGTCCTGATGGGGTGGAACAGAGCTGGGTTGTCAGAGCACAGAGGGGAGAGAGTGATTAGGAAGGTGATAACTCCACTGAGACAGGAAGGGGTTGGGACTGCCCTTCCTCTGGGAATGGTTCCTGCTGGAAGCAGTGCTCCTGCTCTTGGGGCTGAGCATGGTGGAAAGCACTGCTCAATAAAAGGTAGCAAAGTCCAGGCTCCAGTGAACACACCAGATGAGCCGTTTTGTGGATGTTTAGGAAGCAGAAAAAGCTAAATTAAATGAAGGCATTATTCGCTGTGATTATTTAATTAGCTTCCCTTTCATACGCACAGGCGCCAATCTAAACCTGCTACGGAAATTCAGTGTATTAACAACCTCATGCCCCCGACCAGAAGGAATTATTAGGAGATGAATGTACCCACATCTGTGCCCACTGCTTGCAACTTTCTGCATAAACACACCCAACAGCAGCTACAGTTGTGTGTTTACAGTGGTCTTTTGGCCAGTTCTCTGTGATTCAGTGTCATTCATCTTTTTTCTGGTACAGTTTCCCATCAAATTCCTCAAGTCAATCTACTTTTTTTCTTTTTGCTGCCTATCTCTGCCTCTCTCTGTCTCTCTGCTTATCTGTTCTTTGTGGCTTATAGATTTGGGGATAAGCTGTCATACTTTTATTTTTTAAGGGTCGTGCACCTAATGCCTCTCCAGACCCACTTTATCTTTGGTTCAGCCATTGTCCTCACAGGATTGACACCATCCTTCCTGGAAGATATTTATCTGTGGACACAGGAGCTAATTTCCTCCGTGTCTGAAAGCTTCTGTGGGATGCCTTAGTCATTATTCTGGACAGGAATGATGACTTGTGTCACTGTAATTAATGAAAAGACTAATGAATAGCCACTTGAGACGGGGCCACTGGGCCCACTGCTGCTGCTGTGTTGGTGCTCATCAGGATGTCTTTTTGCAGTGAGACTGAACAGAGAGCCACCAAAGCTAAGAAATGTTCTGTGGAGTCACCTGATCTCTCTCTCAGGCAGGGCAAGGCTCTGAAAACCCTCCTGGTTGGGGCAAACCTCCCTCAGCAGCATCCCCACCACACCCAGGGGTGACAGACCCTGTGCTGGGCAGTGATTTCGTGTCTTCTCTGATGCCAGGCACAGCAGAAAGGTCTGGGGGATGTTTTGCAGACTCCTTCCCGTTTTCCAAGCCAGATCTGACGTGGGTGTGGATCTGTGCAGAGCAGGGAAAGCACACAACCAGTAAATTCTGGGAAGAAATGGGGCCAGTGCCAAGCTAATGTGGCTTCTGGGCTCCTGAAGAGGAGCTGAATGGGGTTCCCACACATCAGCTGCTAAAAATCCCAAGGATGTGCTTTAAGAGATCCCCTCATACCAGCAGCCCTCACTGGGCTGTTCTTGTGGTGGTCCCATCCAGAAAAAGTGGGGGCAGCAGGTGGGAATAATTCTCAGGG